CAGTGGATACGTGCAATCCCATCTGGGTCATTAGGTGAAAAGTACTGAGCATGCAGTGGAGCCCAGGCTGTCAGTGGTGCCTCTGCATGTTTCAGGAACACAGTTACACATGCAGAAGGAGCAGTTTTCCCTTCAGCTATCAGGTGAGGAGCAAGGCAGAAAACCCAGTCTTATTTCTGGTAAGGATAGAACAGTTATGTCTGTGCATGACATCAGGAAAAGCTGTGTTAATGTTTAATTGCACAGCAGTTACTGTATTAGTGATTAATATTTTTTATCCCTTTGGAAAAAAATTATACATAGATTGATATTACAATGAAAAGTGGGCCTTGGTATCAGTTGAGCAGACATAAGTTAGAATATCATCTGGCAGCTTTAAAAGTGTTTGAGCAAAGTGTTGAGGACATTTTTTGTATCATATTTTTTCCAGCTATATGCATATAATATTGTCATTCTTTTGACTATAAAACCAAAGGAAAAAAGAAAGGAGAAGGTTTTTCGACCTTACTTGAGAGATTTCAATATGAAGGACTCATTTAAAAAAGAGACAGTATAAATTTCACTTTCCTATCACAAACGTGTTTCTGTATAAATTTCTTGGCTTTGACTTACATGGAAATGTGGAGGCCACTGTCACCTTCATAAGGCTTTCAACAATCACTTCCTACAGCAGTTTAATGGTCAGAAGGAGTAACGTGAGTTCTGTGTCCAGCTGTGGGGTCTGCAGCACAGGAAGGATATGGACCTGTTGGAGCAGGTCCAGAGAAGAGCCACAAAAATGATCAGAGGGATGGAGCACCTCACCTATGAGGAAAGACAGAGGGAGTTGGGGCTGTTCAGTCTGGAGAAGACTCCACAGAGACATTATAGCAGCCTTTCAGTACCTAAAGGGGCCTGAAAGGCTTCCCAAGAAAGATGGGAACACTTTTTAGCAGGGCCTGTTGCAATAAGACAAGGGGTAATGGCTTTAGACTAACAGAAAGTCAATTTAGATTAGATATAAGGAAGAAATTTTTTATGCTGAGAGTGATGAAACACTTGTCCAGAGAGGAGGTAGATGCCCCATCCCTGAAAACATTCACAATCAGGCTGGATGGGTCTCTGAGTAACCTGGTCTAGTTGAAGATGCTCACTGGGAAGTTGGACTAGATGACCATTAAACATCGCTTCTAACCCAAACTGTTCCATGATTCTATGCTCATGGAAAAGAACATGATGCCCGTTCTCTGTAGTAGAGTCATAATCAACAAAGTAAGTATAATTTTTTAATTCTGTCAAGATTTATGCAAATAAAGGTACTACTGTTACTAATATTTAATGTTTTATTACATGGAGATGTCCTTCTGGCCTGTACAGTTGAAGATCTTCAACAGAGCAAGTAAAAACTATAGCTGTCACAGCATTCAGGGGTATGGTCTTTATATAAGATTTTCAAGGTGGAAAGCCCTCTTTGTTTATTTTTTTTTCTTAAGCAGAAGGAGCCTGTACAACATAGGCAAGTACTGTTATGTTTTTACAGGCACCAGTTCGAATATGATCTTACTCGTCCACAGTGTTAACACTATTTTCTTTGCCTGAAGAAGGGACTTCTAACAAATAGCTTGAGTGCAGCATAATAACTCATGTTTTGGTTTTAAAATTTGAAGTATAGATGAGCTTAAAATGAGGAGAGAGATGGGAACAGTGTTGAAGGAAAGTTCTGATACATCTCTGGTAGTAAGTTGTGAATTGGTCTAGACAGCACTGATTTCAAATGAAATGAAAGTAAACCAAAAATTTCCTTTCAGTTGAAGTTGAAATTACTGTATCCTACTGAACCCAAATCTGTATGAAACATGGGAAGTTCTTTATGGCAGCTTTTCTTTTCCTTGAAAGACAGCTATTTTCTGCATGTATGTTATGGTTCTCCCACATAATTTCGTTTATGTGGGTTTTGTGCTTCAGTACCTCTTTTCATGACTGACTTACCTGACCTATGCCTACTGAGGTCTTGTTGGTTACTGGAAGGTGAAGTCCTTGCCAACTCCATCCTGCTGGCCATAGTGCTTGCAGGGGCAATCAAAATGGGTAGTTAATCACATTGAATATTAGTGTCACCAAAGAAGACCTCAGGATTGGTTTACAGTCACATCCCTTTCCTGACTGAAAGGGACTAACAGAAACCTACCTGTCAAATGTAACTTGAATTTAGGTCTCTTAAACTCATTATAAACTTCCAGTCAGATCCCTTTTCTGACAGAAAGGGACTAACAAAAACCTGTCTGTCAGATGTAACTTGAATTTAGGTCTCTTAAATCATTATAAACTGCCTCATATAAGATAGTTTCCTTGTGCTATCTTAAAACAGATAAAGTCAGAAGCTGTAGCGTATATGTGGGATGAAGTACTTTTTCTTGTTTCATACAACTGTTAATCCTGAGAAGCAGTCCAGAGTTCAACTAAGTCATTTCAATAGAAGGAGAAAAGAGTGGGAGACAACTTGCAAGCAATCTGTTCAAACAAAAATTTGTCATGACTGCAGAAGCTGCTTACAGAACTTGCCCATTTCCCAAGAAGGCCATTTCACCTATCTTTCCAAGGTTAGACCTGGGTCGAGGTGTTCTTACTGGCTCAGCAAAGTCTTAAACAGAGGCCAGCACTTCCAGTGGTGTAGAACATATTAATTATGTGTTACTTTGTGGTGTGAGCCACTGCCTGTCAAAGATCAGTAACAAAGATCACTCTATGCATTTCAATTAGGAGACCATGCTCTCTGAAGTGGATATTTTCTCCTCTCTTTATACTTTCACCAGCCTAGCAATCCAGGGATGGTGCTTCATCTTAGATGTTTTTTATGTCTCTAGAAAAAGTAGAAGAGCTAAAAAAATAGGTCTTCACTGAAGACAAGGATCTAAAATTATCTTCAGATAAATAAAGAAACAGTTTTATACTTCCTGTCTTTACAGATGCTTTGAAAACAAATGAAATCCAGTTTGAAGGTTCCCTTGTCTAGTATCAAATAAAGATCAAGCAATTTACGGTGTCATAATGCTTGCACAGGAAAGGAAAACAATCTTACAGAGTGAGTCTTCTGGGCATAACTTGCATAAAGTTCATGTGAGCTTACCTAAGTAACAGTATTTAACAATACAATTAGACATGGATGAAGAGAGAACACGGTGTGCTTATCAGAGGTCAGTGGTTCTTATTTCTGTCTGACTTGGATAACCATCACTGACTGTTCACCCTTCATTTCTATTAATGAAGGTTTTGAAAAAATCTTGAAATGACATGCCCTCAGTATCAGCCTGCACTAAACTAGTGGTTTTGATGTAACATTCACTGATTTCTTTAAGATTGAATGTTGAGGATGGCAAATAGAAACATGTTTAAAAATGCCACAGGTATGAACGTGCTTGTTTATCTCATCCCGCTTGTGCTTTCTCAAGCATCAAGACCTTTGTAGGAAGACACTTGCAGTTCTGTCATTTGGATGCTGTGGTAACTACATGATTCTTAGTTTTCTCTTGTCTTTAGGAGTTGGATCTCTGTTATATATTGTGAAGTCTTGGATCAGCAAATGGAAATGAAAGAAGCATTAGATAAATGCCCATAGTTATCTTTAAAACACTTTTTAGTCTGTCAAATGCTTGATTAGAAATTCAGTGTTATTGCACATGAACTGTCCTACCTCTGTTTTCACATCCTGTTCAGGAGTCTGGAACTGAATGTTGTCTCTTCTTCCAGGAAATGTGTCTGTGTTCAGAAATATTTCCCTTACTATGTTCCTCATGTAATCTAAGCCTAATTACCATATTACTTCAGACTGTTTTTACAGGTCTGAAATTAATGGGCTTCCTTTTTTACTCTGGACTTCTTTCCCAACTGACCATCTGGGCAACTTAAAATATTGTTGTGTTGTCTGCATCAAAATGCAGGAGACAGTTTTCAGGACATTGCTTCTTTTGTTGCTTCATTTTATCACTGTTCCAGTTACTTTGGTTGTATTACTGATCTGAGTTGCCCTTTTAATGTATTGCGATTTGTGTAGTGTCAATAACAAAGTTATGTCAAACCTGAAACATTTTGTTTTCTTTTGATGGTAGCAAGTCTTTCCTGTTCTTTCACTTTACTTGGAACTCCAGACTTCCCTAATGAATAAGTTTGATCTCTATTGTGAGAAGGCTGACATCTTGTCAAATCAGAATTAAATGAGGTACATACTGTGTATTGTTAACAACAACCTAACTTAGTTCTCAACAGCTTCGATTTGAGCAGGAGAATGAAGAAATGAGACAATAAATACGGGTATTATTGTGAAACATGAAAGGTTAAGGAAATTGTATGATGTCTTAATGCCCAGATCTTTCTTCTGTAAAGACATAATTTTTAAGTTTTGGTTATGCAAATAAAAGCAAGTTTGCTGTTCTTCTTTTCCTTTGTATGCTTTTGCAGTTTGCAAAAACAAATACATAATTTTAAAGAATTCAGCATGCTTGGGAGAACCTTTTTTAAGACAGGACTCTAAGCAAATCACAGTTGACCTACATAGGCAGAAGTGCTGCAAAAGCTTTATTTGCTTCACCTATACCTTGTGCTTTGTTCAAACTTCTACTGTTAATCCCTCATTTTTCTGCAAACCCAAGTTACAAAACATATATTCACATAAATTTACCTGCTCCCTGAATTGTTTCTTCCTACTTACGATGCTCTACTTTGGACTTGGAAAAGTGAGGAATGATCCCCACAAACCTCCAGCTTTTGAAGGTGTCAGGTGTTCTGATAAAAAGAATGCTGGTAAGAGAACAGCATTGACCCTGTAGCAATGTCCTTAACTTTTGAGGCTTTCTTGTATTTTTAGAGTGTGATTTTAAGGGGATGTATTATCCCACTAATAATGCTCACAGACAACGGAGGAAAAGGTTCATATAGCATTTCATAACACTGTAACTTTTGTTGAATTTTTGAGTGTGCTAATTGAACTGATCACAAAAAAACCTGATAATAAACTCTTTCCACAGAAACTGAAACAGAAGAATCAGCAGCTGAAGCAGATCATGGATCAGTTGCGGAATCTTATTTGGGACATAAATGCCATGTTGGCAATGAGGAATTGAACAAGGAAAATCAGACTTTGTATTTGAAGAAGATACAAATCTCATTGGATATACTTAACTTCCTTGTAAGAAGAAACATATTTTCCTGTAATCATCTTGCAGTAATGTTTGAAAAGTCTTCAAGATTAAAATGTTGGGTTTTTTCTAATAACTTAAATGGTGTTGGGTTTGTTTTTATATAAGATTCATCCTACAGGTTTTACCTGAGTGTTTCCCTTAGGCTGTACAGCATCAGTAACTTACAGTAATAATTTGGATTGCTATGCAAATGAGGGGGTTTATAAATTAAGTGTTTCTGGATTTTCTTTATAATACAATTAACAATTTTAAAAACGTGTTTGTATACCATTCCGCAGTCAAACAGCCTCTACAGACAGGAAGGGTTACAAGACAGGAAGGTCGCTCCAGAAAGCTACAGGGCCAAAATCAGCGATCAGATACTGCAGCTCAATATGTTCTCCATTGTGGGAACATACACTACAGGCTGCTATACCATACAAGTTCATCTTATTCCATATCCTATCACTGGATATATGATACATTAGATAAATTGGAGCAAAATTCAAAAGCTACATAAAAATTATATCCTTATGGATATAATTAAGTCTTTTTAAGGGAAGACTATCTTAACTTCTTTTGCAATTACATGTTGTAATTTCTTGAGTACTACTCTAGGTATTGTATGGTGAATCATAGAATATGCTGAGTTGAAAGGGACTCATCGAGATCATCGAGTCCAACTCCTGTCCTTGCACAGGACCATCCCCAAGAATCACATTGTGTACCTGAGAGCACTGTCCAAACGCTTCTTCAACTCAGGCAGGCTTGGAACTGTGACCGCTTCCCTGGGGAGCCTGTTGTGGGTTCCTTCCAACTTGGCATGTTCTGTTCTGTTCTGATATCTGACCAAAACCTCCCCTGCTTCAGCTTCATACCATTTCCTCGAGTCCTGTCACTGGTCACAAGAGATTGGTACCTGCCTCTCCTCTTCCCCTCACGAGGAAGTTGTAACTGCAATGGCTTCTCCCCTCAGTCTCCTCTTCTCCAGGCTGAACAGACCAAGCGACCTCAGCTGGTCCTCATAAGGCTTCCCCTCAAAGCCCGTCACCATCCTCACTCCTCTCCTTTGGATGCTTTCTAATACTTTAATGTCATTTTTATGTTGTGGTGCCCAAAACTGCCACAATATTCAAGGTGACGCTGCCCCAGTGCGGAGCAGAGCGGGACAATCCCCTTCCTTGACCGGGTGGTGATGCTTTGCCTGATGTCCCCCAGGACAGGGTTGGCCCTCCTGGCTACCAGGGCACTGCTGACTCGTATTCAACTTGCCATTGACCAGGACCCCCAGGTCCCTTTTCACAGTGCTGCTCTCCAGCCTCTCATTCCCTGGTCTATACACACAACCAGCATTGCCCTATCCCAGCTGTAGAAGCCAGCACTTACCCTTGTTAAACTTCATGCGGTTGGTGATTGTCGAGCCCTCTAATGTATGAAGGTCTCTCTGTAGGGTCTCTCTGCCCTCGAGGGATTCAACAGCTCCTCCCAACTTAGTGTTGTTGGCAAACTTAGTATTCCTTTGAGTCCTGGGTCCAGGTAATTAATGGAGATGTTGAAGAGAACTGGGCTGAGGATGGAGCCCTGTGAAACCCTACTAGTGACCTTGCACCATCCTAATGTCACCCCATTCACTGTAACTCTTTGTGCTCAATCCATGAGCCATTTGCTCACTCATCACATAACATGGTTATTCAGCTATATGCTGGACATTTTGTCCAGAAGGATCCTGTGAGAGACAGTATCAAAACCTTTGCTGAAATCCAAAAAGATTACATCTACTGGCTTTCCTAGATCAATCAGGTGGGTTTTCCTGTTGTAGAAGTAAATCAGGTTCTACAAGCAGGACTTCTCCCTCAGGAAGCCTTGCTGGCTGTGACAGACAGACCAGTGATGTATTCCTGTAGCATTATGTATGGTTGGAATACTTTGGTTTTCTTTACCAGAATGCACTGAATAAATGCCTCATTAATCTTTTCCCTATGACTGTCAGTCCTAGGAAACTTTGGGGTATATGAGCAGTTGATTATTTTGAGTTAATCATCAACCTTCATCTTTCTTTGTTCTGCCCTTGCTATTCTTCACAATTTTCGTTAGCCCTGAAAATAGACCTGAAAATTTTTGTTATCCACAGGTGCTGCCAGTGGACTATTGTCTCTTTTTCCAGATGAAAGAATATGTAAAACAACAGTTTCAGTACAAATCCATGGGGCACTTTACTCTTAATATTTGTCAAGTTGAAACTTATCATCTTCATTATTTGCTTCTTGTGTATTACTTTTAATGCTCATTCTATGTCCAGTCAGATTCCTTAGTAGTTTTGCATAAAAGATTTGTTCAGAACCTTCTGAAATGTCCAGTTAAATGGTATCCTTTTGAAAGATATCCTTTTTACAGTTTTGGGGTTTGATACTGAATGCTTACTGATTTGAGATTCATGGGTTTAAAAATGTTATACTGCTTTTCACAGAATCATAGAATGGTTTGGGTTGGAAGGGACCTTAAAGATCATCTAGTCCCATCCCCCTGCCATGGGCAGTGAATCTTCCACTAGACCAGGTTGCTCAGATCTTCATCCAGCCTGGCCTTGAACACTTCCAGGGATGGGACATCCACAGCTTCTCTGGGCAACCTGTTCCAGTGCCTCATCACCCTCACACGTGTTTTGTTGTTCTGTTAGTCCTTTTAATTTTGTTTTTTAATTATTTCAATCCATTTGTCTAGTCCTTGAGGTAAAAGTCACTGGTAATAGATGTGCTCACACCTGGTTAACAATATGTGCCTTTTCCCTAAAATTCAGTACAATATAGTTGTCTTTTTTTCTCCTTTTGAAGGCTGTAAATATTAACAGATGAATGGATGTCCTCTCTTTTAATTGCAAATAAAATGTTAGAAAATGTTAATTTTGATTAGTTTATACAGTGTTGAAAGTGATCTGTAACTATGACAATACCCAGATGTGAGTAGATGTCAAAACACCTCACAAATAAGGTCTCTCTCTTTTCTCCCACATTGCAAAAGGAAGAGTGGGTATCTTACTCCACTTATTACTAGTAGCAGAACTGTTCTTTTCCCATTTAGATTGACCACTATGGCAGACTTGTTGATCAGAAATAATAGTTGATTTCTGCAGCTGTGAGAGTCATAACTATTTTATATGCAAAGCTTTTGAAAAGGAGATGACTGCAAGTAGAGATTTTATTTTGGTTTTGGTTTAAAATGCAAATGCATTTTTCTATTTGCAAGGTTTGGTGGCAGCTTTCTGTTTCGTGCATGCATAAGTATGCATGCAGCCTAGAGGAAGTTTTTGAAGTGGATTTTGAAATGGCACGATCATCTTAATTGGTAGTGTAAAATTCTCAGTTCTTCAAATTTTTGTTCTATTTTTGGAACAATTATGGAAAATGGAAATAAGCCTAGACTTGGCTCTACTGCTTGTATAATATCTATGTCTTTTTCCTAAATGTGTTTAAAGTTTGTTGACTTTTTTATTGCATACAAACAGTACGCAAGTAACCTAAAATGTGAATAAGAGTGCAGTTATTGCAAGTAGATGTCTGGCTGATAAAATATTCAGCTGTCTCTGTGCAGCTGCTAGCAGTAGCCAAGGTCTATACTACAATTTTTCATCTGAGAGGAGAAACACTTCAAACCACTACCAGAATAGATGGGCAGTAGCTAAATTGCAAAGTGCAGAAATTGACAGAATTGTAAATTATCACAGTAAATACTGTCAAAGCAGGAACTTTGCAAGATATTGGACCAAAACCATACACTTTGACTTACACAGATGAAAGTAAGGGTAGTGAACGTAATTCATGTGCTAGCAGGTCTGTGAATAAGTATAGGATTTGGCCAAGAAGATGACAGTTTTAAGAAAAGTGGCAATTCCTGAGCTGTGAAACACTTTTGAAGGAATTACTGGGCATCAACATCAAATTTAATATTTTAGTTAATGCTGACTGAACTTTAACTGCTGGTTAATGAAATGGCACCAGATGAAGTATTTACAAATACCAGTAAAGCAATACCAACACAGATGTTTCAGTGCTTGGTTTATTTATGTATAGTTGATTGTTGTATCATTATATATCATTGAAATTATCTTCATGCTTCTGGTGTTCCCCTGCTTTCCTTAGCAACCTGCTGGCTCTTGAAGTTGCTGCCTGTAGCAGTGCTGGGACTTGCTGTCCCTCCTGCACACACAGAGCTCTCTGGAAGCATACCCTGTTCATTTTGAGGGTCATCTTCGTGTGACTGGTAATAAGCATAGCTGCTTATTAATGGTTGGACTCAATGATCTTAAAGGTCTTTTCCAACTTAAATGTTTCTATGATTCTATGGCTATATTTGTATTTTCGATAAGGCAGAAGCTGGATAAACATACAGACAATCCCAGAAGCAAACACCAAAACATAGGATCATTATATTTTTGGAATATAAAAATATTTGAGGGGCTTGGGGTTCTTAGGATTCTGTTTTGCCCAGATAGGACTTGGGAGAGTGGAGCTACGATGTGGAGTACTTTATAGCATATTTGTGGGAGCACTCCAAGTTAACACACACTCTCAAAATGAAACCATTCATCCAACACCTTTGTAGACAAAATAGCGGATATTGAATGTGCAGCTCAGCGTCACAACACAACAGTAGAAGATGCCTGCTAGGCAGTATGCAAAGGTCCAAGGTTTTTCTCACATAAAAAGACAAAAGTGCAGAGCAGATTTACGCCTTGTTCAGGAAAGATGCAAGGAGTTTACCTTTCCTCTTGTCTTCCATAGAGGCAGCAAGGCAATATCCAGAGTGCTCTAATAAACCATGGCCGTTCTTGTTGTACCATAGAGAAAACCCCTGCTCTGATTAATATTTCTTACTGAGAGAGAAACTGGAACTTGTGTACAAATGCTACCTAAATTAATCACTGTAGAGAATGGATTTAGAGGGAGGAGGACAAGAATTCTGATCTCATAGGAACCAAGATTTCATTGGTGTATGAGGTGGCTGCACAAGCCAAAAAGACTACAGCTGAAGGATGACTGACAACTGCTGTGGAAAACAGTAAGCTCCACATGTAGATTTGAAGACCTGAATTGA